AGTGAGTGCAGTGTTCCTTTGTGTAAGAACAAAGACAAAGAAACAACTGCGCCACACAGTCGTGCAGATATCATCAGGTCCACCACGAGGAGAAATGGAAATGAAGTGAAATAATTACATTCCGACCCTGTGACTCTGGTGTGTCTCAAAGGCTATCAAGTCCAACCTCCCTGGCTGATGCAGGAAATCCACTGAGACACAAAAGAGTTTGGTGTGGGAAAGCTTGATGCTGGATGAATGTTCCTCTTCTCGCCAAGCAGGAGAACATTCCAGGGTGTTCACAAGGTCCGTTTCCTTGTAATGGGAGAGCACTAGAGATTCACATTGTCTTGCTATATCTGTTGCTGTGCAGGTTTCCAAGCAGAGCACAGAATCATAAAATCATAGAGTTGGAAGGGACCACAAGGATCATCTAATTCAGGGGTGCCCAAACTAAGGCCCGCAGGCAGGATAAGGCCCAAGGGACTCGTTTATCCGGCTCGCGGCTACCCCCGCCGCCCGCTCTTACCGGCACTGCATTGCGTGGCTGCCCACTTCCAGGTCGGAGGAGCACCAGTAACAGCTTGTGCGCATGCGCAAGCATTATTTGCGCATGCGTTATTTCCGGTGCACATCCGGGTCGGAGGAGGCCTGTGCACATGCACACAAGCTGATTTCTGGTGCTCCTCTGACCCGGAAGTGTGCAGGAAATAGCATGTGCGAACGCGTACGGGCACGCGCGCCCCTGCCCTCTGGCCCACTGCACAATCAGTGCTGGAGACACCGACCTGAGGCAATGCATTTGTACATTGGTAAAACTTGATTGTTGCCAGAGAATGTAAGATGTTCATTTTCCCCATATGCAGTAAAGCAGGCTTCCTCAAACTCAGCCCACCAGCTGTTTTTGGCCTACAACTCCCATGAGCCATAGCTAGCAGGACCGGTGGTCAGAGATGATGGGAATTGTAGTTCAAAACATCTGGAGGGCTGAGGTTGAGGAAGCTTACAGTAAAGCTACAAAAATACTATGGTATCAGACATCCCTGGGAGAGAGATTGACTGTTAAACCACTTTGGGAATTGTAGCTCTATGTGAGGAAGGGAAAGTCCCTATGCTCCTTTAACCAACATAACACTCAGCTTTTTTAACCAACCCAGGGTTTTTAGAAGCAATTTTACTCCTAAAGCAAGCAATGTACTTGCTGAAGATGCTTAAGGTTCCATATAGCACTTTTGTCCCAGTTTCAGCCAAATCCAGCTAAAACTTCTGATTCTGGCCTAATTTAGATTTGAAGGCTGAGACACCCAAAGGATAATAACAGCCTTTAAGGAAAATTGCAGCTTTTCTACCTAAAGTTCATGATCACCAGTCAGCTGTCTGGTGATAGACCCATTCACAATACTCAAGGTAGTCAAAAATCGTAACATATAGTGCCTGTGCTATCTGCACATTTGACCTCTTCATTCTTCATAGGAAAGCGGAATTGGGGAGGAAGGTAATTTTGAAATTTTTGAAGGGACTTTCCAGCTACTATACTTTCCAGCTACTATCAAGCTTTGTTGTTTAGTCGTTTAGTCGTGTCCGACTCTTCGTGACTTCATGGACCAAAGCACGCCAGGCACTCCTGTCTTCCACTGCCTCCCGCAGTTGGGTCAGTCTCATGTTTGTAGCTTCAAGAACACTGTCCAACCATCTCGTCCTCTGTCGTCCCCTTCTCCTTGTGCCCTCCATCTTTCCCAACATCAGGGTCTTTTCCAGGGAGTCTTCCCTTCTCATGAGGTGGCCAAAGTACTGGAGCCTCAGCTTCACGATCTGTCCTTCCAGTGAGCACTCAGGGCTGGTTTCCTTAAGAATGGATACGTTTGATCTTCTTGCAGTCCATGGGACTCTCAAGAGTCTCCTCCAGCACCATAATTCAAAAGCATCAATTCTTCAGCGATCAGCCTTCTTTATGGACAATCAAGCTAGTTCTCCCAATTAAATGGAATGGATAGAGGGCAATCAAGGTGCTGCAACAAAACACAACCCCTGCCTTGCACCGGCATAAAAATGATTTACTTAATTATATTTACGTCCTGTCTTTCGTCCAAGGAGCTCCATGTGGTTCATGGTTCTCTCTTTCTTTTCTTTCTTTCTTTTCTCATCCTCACAACAACCCTATGAGGTAGGTTAGGCTGAGAGACAATGACTGGTCCAAGCTCACTCAGTGAGCTTTGTGGTCCATTGGGGATTTGAACCCTGGTCTCCCAGCTCCTAGTCCAACACACTAACCACAACACCACAGTGGCTCTATGCTTCATCACCCACCAAAAATAATGAAGATACAAATTACCAGAATAAAACTGAGTGTAATAATGTAAGTTGTGGTACTGTAATGAGTATCTAATTCCTATATTAATCTAGGGATTTGTTTATTTTTGGCTAACAACACAGAACTCAAATACACTTTGCTTAGCATATTACACACCCACATGAACATTGCTGTAATTAATGGAGCACAGGAACCTTGCCAAGTGAGACCGCAGACAGGAGCTCAAAGGAAACGCTTAACACTCTTAAATGTACAGGACAAAGACATCATGTTGCAATAAGGGATGTGCTTTTTGGTGAATATTATCTACTGCCTTGTTAGTTTAGCAAAAGCGTAGGAGGCAATGACTTAGATCAAACTCTGGGAAAGTAAAGGGAGTCTAGCACTCTGTCCTCCCCAAATTAAAGACTTTCAGGGTGACAAAATGTAAGATAAACTGTAACTGTCTCTTAGTATCATTATGCTCTCTTCTCTACCAATGAGGGTCTCAGTTTTGTGAAGAAGTCCCGTGTCAGTTTCTAACCTCAAAGTTGAGGGCTTGGGACACTGTGTTCCATTTCTAGGAAAAGGGGGAGAAAGAAAAATCTTATTTTCTTTGAGGATCCCAAGTTCTCCTTATGCTGGGGAGGGGGGAAAAATGGCCAGCAAGCATTTGGAAGCAGCCGAGGTAAAAAGAAGCAGCAACCCCTGGAGGAGCAACTATGTCCCTTGATATAAATGACAGCCTACCAAGCAACTGTACTAGATTGAAGCAGATTTATAGCACAAACCCGACCTAAATCCAAATGCTCTGATTGAATTGAAGACAAAGGCTGCAAATCTAAAGTTACTAGGAGTGAACTGAAACAAATGTCTGCACATAGTTTTGATTGATCTGAAAGAGTCCGGTCGCCTCTGACTGATTGCTTGATTTTCACATTTATATGCTGTTATTTTGGCCCTGCCAGATATTTAAATCAACAATAAATATTCCAAAGCCTGATTCATCAAACTTAGTAGCTTCAGTCAATCCTCACAAAACAACCACAGCAAGCAGCTTCAACAATAAATATGGGTAAATATATAACTGTTGCCAAATATCCGAAGAAATGGGGGGGGGATGTTTTCTTCTCCTTAAAGGGCACGAGCCTAGCAAGTCTGCCTCAAGAGACAATTCACAGTAGAAAAGATACTGCTGCTTATAGCCATCCACTTTACTTTAGGTACTACAGGTATGCCACCACATTCAGATGCATAGAACACAGGAAGTTACCCTGTACTGTGTCAAACCATTGGTTCATCTCGCTGACTGTTGTCTAATTTAGGGGTATCCGACACAGTGCCTTCCAGATGTTGTTGGACTACAACTCTCATCAGCCCCAGCCAGCATTCAGAGGTGATGGCGGTTATAGTCACAAAACATCTGGAGAGAACCAGATGTTCTCTCCTGGTCTAATCTGACCAACAGAGGTTCTCCAGGATTTCAGATGAGTCCCATCCCTACCTGGAAAAGCCAGGGATCAAACCAGGGAGGCCTTTTGCACAACTGCTAACTGTGTGAGGGAGTACACACCGTTAGGGCTTTTAGAACCCCTCTTGGGGGAACTATGGGGTCTGTTTTTGTTTTGTTTTAAATTATAGTGGAATGGATGAGTGCAGGGGATAATGCCGTTCCACCTACCCTCCAAATAGTGTATGTGACCTCCAGCCCATCCTTCCTAGAAGGATGGAAAAGACCAGCAGGTAACTTACCATACTTTTCCGTCTAATAGACGCCCCCATATATAAGATGCCCCCCCTATTTTGGGGGACTCAGTTTTAAGAAAATGAGGGGAGATGGCCCAAAGTTGTGGAGCCTCTCCCCCCATGTAGCTGTGGGCAGGAAACACTCCCTATATCATTTCCTGTGCTCAACAGCATTGAGGGAAGTTGCGCTCCAGCCAGCCAGCTGCCGCTGTGCGTAGGAAACGATTCAGGGAGTGCTTCCCACGCGCAGTGGCATCGGGGGAAGCTGCGCGCCGCCAGCCAGTGCCCCCAGATCGCTCCTGTCACGCAGCAGCATCTCCCCCCCCCCCATGCCACTATCAGTGTATTGGACGACCCCAGTTTTTTGACATGATTTTTGTGTCAAAAAGCCTTGTCCAATGCACAGAAAAATACAGTAATAAAATGGGAAGAAACAGTGCGAGCAATTTAGATAAATGTGTCATTTAAAGTCATTTAAAGTTAATCTCTAAATCTCTAAGAATAGGAGGAGATGGATCCCAGTAAGTCAACCATCCACAAATGAATGACTAGACTAGAGCCTCTCAGATCTTGTTGGTGCTACCCAGCTCCAATTTACAGCTCACCCATGAACTCACTGGGTGCCCTTGGGCAAACCACACTTTTTCAGAACCAGCCACCAATCTGCGAAATGGAGAAAATACCCTTTGCAGGGCTGTTGTAACAAATACTAGATCAAGTTTATGAAGCACTCAAGAACGTTACATGGATGATTACGATGATTCCTATCTGTTACTGAGATCACATCTAAAGATGATGACTATGATTTATTAAATGTGTATACTGCCCTGTTCCCACAGGTTTCACAAAAGACATAAATAAAATCACAAAAGACATAAATAAAGATTCTTATGTTAAAATGGCTTCCCTTTCCCTTTTGCCTGTTCCTCTGTGCTGCTCAGAAGTCTTGCCCATGTGACTTTTCCCTGTTGTTTTTGTCTTCCAGGTTTCGGCATGACCACACCGGCCACTGTCACAGGCAAGCTTTTCCTGATATTCTATGGCCTTATAGGCTGTGCAGGGACCATTTTGTTCTTCAACTTGTTCCTGGAGCGCTTGATCACCATCATAGCCTATGTCATGAAGTCCTGCCGCGAGAGACAACTAAGGCGGAGGGGGGGCCTTGCCCAAGACAGCCATCACACTCCTGGGACCGCCGAAGTGGACAGCTTGGCAGGATGGAAGCCGTCCGTATATTACGTCATGCTTATCTTGTGCATTGCGTCCGTCATTGTTTCCTGTTGTGCCTCTGCTCTGTACTCTCCCATGGAAGGGTGGACGTATTTGGACTCGCTTTATTTTTGCTTTGTGGCCTTCAGCACCATTGGTTTTGGCGACCTGGTGAGTGGCCAGAACACCCACTATGAGAACCGAGGCCTTTACCAATTTGGCAATTTCCTGTTCGTACTCATGGGGGTTTGTTGCATCTACTCCCTCTTTAACGTGATCTCCATTGTCATCAAACAGTCTGTGAATTGGATATTAAGGAAACTGGACAGCACGTGCCATAGGTGCCAAAGAAAACTCTTCCGGTCACGAAGGAATGTTGTGGTGCCGGGAGTTGCCCGGAACCAACGCAACATATCCATCGAGTCGGATGGTGTCCTCGAGAGCGAGGCAGATGGGCGCAGGCTGTCCGGCGAGATGATCTCAATGAAAGACCTCTTAGCGTCTAACAAAGTGTCACTGGCCATCATGCAAAAACAGTTGTCCGACAGTGCCAATGGCTGCCCCAGAGCAAGCATCGCTTCTAGACAAAACGGTTTTGCTGGCGGCGTAGGCGCTTTGGGCATTATGAACAACAGGCTGGCAGAGACCAGTACGGATAGAGACATCCACGCTGGGAGGGGATCACTGGGTAACAGATAATGAAGGGTCAAAAGTCATCACAGAGACAGAACTAACTGAGTGGGCCACCTCTTGAGAAGAGGTGCCTTTAGTGTTGTTGCTGGCAGTTCGGACCTCTTGCATTTTGCACTGCGCCACCGATCCACCCTTGCCCTGCAGACCCTGCCAAAGAACATCCCAGTGGTGTCATGTAGTGTAGCTGCAATTAACAAGCTTCTTCAGCATGTATTTAAGTTTAGGTCTGAGTTCGGAGCAAGGGGAAATGGAGAGAAAACATGCAGATGCGTTGCTCCCTTTGTTTTGGCTGGCACCTCAGTCCTGTAAATGCTCAGAAGAGCAAGCAGTTTAAGCTGCAGTAGTAGTCACAATCCAGAGATGTTGTGCACCAGAAAGTGCGGTACAAGAACAACTGTGTGTGTCGGAAGGTGCAGGAAGCAACCGCTTAGGTGGATAGCTGAATAGCCCAGCAGTGACTCATCTGTGGTTTTCAGATGCTGTTGGACTCCAATTCCCATCAGCCCCAGCTGATCCCTGTGGTCAGGGATGATGGGAGTTGTAGTCCATCAACATCTGGAGAACACCAGGTTAGGGCTTCCCCCCCCCCGAAATAGCCACTTGCCTTTGATTTCACTAGTGAACAGTCATTCCCTACTGGGTCCAAGAGTGACTAGCTCACCTGAGTAGTTTGCTCCATTTGGAGATGGAAAGTGGATCTCTTCTCCCTCAGCTGCCCAGACCATTTATCTTTCTGCATGCATTGGAATCCTACACTGTGTGGCATGTGTGGAAGACATAATCTGGAGATCTGCATGCAGTGGTATCATGTGTGGGTTTGTGTGCAAAAAAAGAAGTTTTATTGCACATTTTAGGATCAGTGCTATTTTTCTAGAAAAAGAGGTGCCAGAACTCACCATTATCACATCCCTTGTTCTCTTAGAATGGCAATGGTGCCCACCTGAGAGGTGGCAGAACTGAGTTCTGGCTGGAAAAAAAAAGCCCTGTTTAGGATCACATGTATCTGATAGCAAAACTTTGCCTCACAAGGAAAAATATTCTACCACTGAGAGCCAGTGTGGTGTAGTGGTTAAGAGCAATAGACTCGTAATCTGGTGAACCAGCTTCGCGTCTCCGCTCCTCCACATGCAGCTGCTGGGTGACCTTGGACTAGTCACACTTCTTTGAAGTCTCTCAGCATCACTCACCTCACAGAGTGTTTGTTGTGGGGAGGAAGGGAAAGGAGAATGTTAGCTGCTTTGAGACTCCTTCGGGTAGTGATAAGGCGGGATATCAAATCCAAACTCTTCTTCTTCTTCATAAGACACACTAGATTAAATTTAAGTTAAATCCCGTAGAGTCACCAGGCACCCAGGTTTCAAAATGCAAATGCTCCTATTATGAAACTTGATCCATAAGCTGCTATCGCTACCATCAATAGATCTCTGCAAAAAGGTGACTTTCCCAAAATCTACAACAGGGGTGGTAAAATGGAAAAGCATGGAAATGATCAAGAACAAACACATGTCAAAATAATTTCATAGACTTGCTGTTTACAGTCAAGCCAAAATATAATGTGCCGCTAGGAAGGAACAGGAGAAATGTAACACTGAGATTTTATTATCTAGGCTGTAGCTTTATAACTTTATAAGACCATGAGTTTGGGAAACAGAAAAGTTTCAGTTTGGAGAGGAGATGCTAGCAGAGGTCATTTGGGAACCGTATTAAGGCCTGCTTTATGAAAACATTTTTATTAATAACCACAGGAAGAACGTGGGAGTGTGCTGTTGCAACCTGAACATGACCCTAACTTAGAAGGTACTGTAATTCTCCAAAGGACTGGAAATTACGTGGGACTAATTGGATGGCCTCATGAACTGAAATGATAGAAATGGAACGAAAATGGGCATTGCAAAATGTAAGGCCATGTATTTGGAAAGCAAACAATAAAAGATGTTTGTTACCTGCCAATTAGTAGTTGAAAACAACCCGCAGAAAAATGATTTCAGGATATTGGTTGATCACAAAATGGCAATCAGCCACCAACACGACACAGCTGCAAGAATGGCAAGTATAATGCTTAGAAGTATTAGGTGTGTGGGGGGGGGAAATAGTAGTATAGAGCACTTTTAGTATAAAGCCTTGATTTTGTTTTCCTCTGTGAGGAATACAACCTATCCATTAAAACAGTTAAAACTTTCTTCTTCTTGTTGTTCATACCCCACCCATTTGACTGGGTTGCCCTAGCCACTCTGCGTGGCTTCCAGCATATACAAAAACATAATAAAGCATTGAACATTAAAAACTTCCCTATACAGGGCAGCCTTCAGGTGTCTTCTAAAGGCTGTATAGTTACTTATCTCCTTGGCATCTGATGGGAGGGTGTTCCACAGGGCAGGCGCCACCACCGAGAAGGCCCTCTGGCTGGTTCCCTGCAACCTCACTTCTCACAGGGAGGGAACCACCAGAAGGCCCTTGGAGTAGCACCTCAGTGTCCAGGCTGAACGATGGGGATGGAGATGCTCCTTCAGGAATACTGTTATTACAGCAATCAGGAGTAAATCCCCTCTGCTCACAAAAATGGGTTGGCTCAAGCATCTGGGAAACTGCAACAGGTAGACCAAGCTGTGTGCATACACTGTACAGTGGTACCTCAGGTTAAGTGCTTAATTCGTTCCGGAGGTCCGTACTTAACCTGAAACTGTTCTTAACCTGAAGCAACACTTTAGCTAATGGGGCCTCCTGCTGCCACTGCGCTGCCGGAGCATGATTTCTGTTCTCATCCTGAAGCAAAGTTCTTAACCTGAAGCACTATTTCTGGGTTAGCGGAGTCTGTAACCTGAAGCGTATGTAACCTGAAGTGTATGTAACCCGAGGTACCACTGTAATGCGAGCTCTTTGAGGCCTTTGGGTTGTGCCATACAGTAAATGGTTAACAACAAATGAATTTGATTTGGCACGGATTCCAGTGACAACTTCTCAAGGGTTTATCACAAGTGTCCTTGGACATGAAATGCTTCGGCAAGTTCCTTTTTAGCATTCATGTAACTTCATCCCCAACTTGGTTCACATATCTTGGTGATGATAATGACAGGGTTTTGATTAGGAAAGTTGGAAACTCCTAATTCTGCTAAATGAAACTACCCAAGTGCTCATTATGAACAGGTGGGGACCTAAATGAGAATGGCTTTAATGGTGAGAGAAAGACAGGAAACAGAAATTGGGTGGATCAATAATGGCTGGAGGACATTAGAGAACAGTAGAACAGAGATATTAAATAGAAAAGAAGTGGTTGCGGGGGAAATCAGAGCCACATTCATTTACTCCTGTGCAAAGCTATTAAAACTGATGAAGTTTGCATGGCAGTAATTGAACAAAAAAATGGATTGAAATTAAATCCAAAATTCAGTATGGGAATGGAAGGCTTTTCAATTATGTGCTTTGGACATTGGCTTGTGAGTTCACAAAGGCAAGCAAATTCTGTTTAGGATAAGCCAGAGGTTTTGTAGGAAAGAGTCATTGAATGAAGAAATAGGGAGGGTTTGACTTAGTGCCTCTAAGACGGAAGACACAAGCACCACTAGTCTTCCTGCTGCAACATAAAAGCCAAACGTCTTATGCAATAAACAAAGAGAAAGAGAACCTATCCAGTTGATGCTGACACAAAACCCCACACATACACTATGTAAAAGAATAGACGTTTCACCACCCCTCCTCTCCCCTCTTTCTTCTTCCCCGACCTTATACCGTCCACAACACTAATGTCTCATACCAAATGTAACTGATCTGTAGAAAAGACTTTACAACCTGAAAAAAGAGACAATGCATGTACTTTCGTAAACCAGGAAAACCTTTAATAAAAATTATATATTCCCCCCCAAAAAAAATATTTGGACAAACTCCAGAAGATGACATGAAAATGAGATCAACCCTGAACAGTGAATGAGCTTCTTTGGTTCTGACCCCTTTAGCCATTGGTGGTATCACCAATAGCTAGATTTCCAACCTTGAACTTTTCAGGTTTCTACGAAGCAGCTGAGGGCAAGCTGAAGGACACTAGAGACTCATCACGTCACCACTGAACAAACCTTTGAATGAATTTTTAACACATTTCTGAATGTGTCTATATCTTTCCCTTCTGTTATTACCAACGGGAGAGGAAACATTTTTAATGCAAACACACACACACAGCCCAGGAGGGCATAGGACAAGTCAGGAAAACCAGCTTTGTATCCACAGTGCCCTCTCCCAGTTAGCATTGTAGCCTTAGTATTTTATGTGACATGAGGGTACAGGGCATTTTTTAAAAAAACTCCTTTATATTACTACACCCCTTAGCAATTAGCAATGCTGGGGAAGGATGCCATCTGCACCTGGTACACCTGCCCTGAAAAGATGCAGCTTTCCATGGATTGAAGTTTTTGGTGTGTTTTTGAAAGAAAAAGTCCTTAATGTATGTTGTGGAAACATTAACATTCTGATCCGAGCTTCAGACTCCACCTAATTCCATTAAGAGTCTTTACTGTCATGTGGCTCAAAATAGCGCAAGCAATGTTTACGGTTGCCTTCCTTCAATATTTTAACTCTACTGGATAACTTGCAGAAATTGGTGTGCAGACAGAAGCTTCAGCAGGCCACGACAAGCGACACTTTGTGATCTTGTTACACAGGTGAAGTGCACAATGCAAATTACTCTGAATAGGGGGGGGGGACTTTGAGGCAATCAAATTATACTCCATCCATTTGAAAGTTCACTTCAAGGAGAAATAATGTGAGGCACCTTGAGCTTGTTCACCTTCATTGCTCAGTGAAGAAACATTTAGCCTGCCAACTGTCCTTACCATGTTTGCATTTCTTGATGGCAGAATTATAGCTACTGGGAGCTGCATCCCTTTAGTCATTACAACTGTTTTTGAACTGTTTATTTAATACAGGGATGCTTCACATGTGCAGGGACCTCATTAGATCATGATGGTGTCTGTTTAGTTGTTGAAATTATTCAAAGTGACTTACAAACTTACAAACACAATAGACCAGTTACGAACTTAATTCGTTCCGTAGGTCCATTCTTAACCTGAAACCGTTCTTAACCTGAGGTACCACTTTAGCTAATGGGGCCTCCCGCTGCTGCCGCCGTGCGATTTCTGTTCTCATCCTGAGGTAAAGTTCTTAACCCGAGGTACTACTTCCAGGTTAGCGGAATCTATAACCCAAAGTGTTTGTAACCCAAAGTGTTTGTAACCCGAGGTACCACCGTACTAAAACATAGTACAGTGAACACAATAATCAATCAAATCCTTATTACAGTCATAGACCAGCAGATGTAGAGTGGGGCACAGTCATTTAAAATCTGAAAAAAGGTTTTGGAAAGCTAAAATTATTAAAAGAGAAGGTATACATAAAAGACTAAAAGAAGCTAAATGAAGGGTTAGGAGCATTAAATGGACGTGGAAGAGCATAATAGCTTAGTATATAAAAGGCTATGACTATCGATTTACAAAGCACTCTGATATGGGTGTTCATTAAATCTAGTTTGTGGCACAGGTCATCAACCGACGAATTTTGAATGCTGCTATGCAGAACCTAGGAACATTCTATGTTGTAGCAGGGTTGGTATCTGAATGAACACAATAAAAACCTTTAAAAAACCTACAAACATCTTTGCGGGGAATTTGGTGCCAATAGAATCCCCACGCTGCAAGTTTCAGAAGGCAGATTTGCCTCCAAAAGGGGGGAAAGGGCTCAATGTTCCCTTCATACCTGCTCTGATCTCCTTAATTATCACCCCTACTCTACCCTCTGGTGGCGCTGTGGGTAAATCCTCAGCGCCTAGGACTTGCCAATCGCAGGGTCGGCGGTTCGAATCCCCGCGGCGGGGTGCGCTCCCGCCGTTCGGTCCCAGCGCCTGCCAACCTAGCAGTTTGAAAGCACCCCCAGGTGCAAGTATATAAATAGGGACTGCTTATCAGCGGGAAGGTAAACGGCGTTCCGTGTGCTGCGCTGGTGCAGGCTCGCCAGAGCAGCTTCGTCACGCTGGCCATGTGACCCGGAAGTGTCTCCGGACAGCGCTGGCTCCCGGCCTCTTAAGTGAGATGAGCGCACAACCCTAGAGTCTGACAAGACTGGCCCGTACAGGCAGGGGTTCCTTTACTTTTAC